CCGCTCACAAGAGGCCGAATTCGGGGTCTGCGAAGAGCAGGCCTTCCTCCAACTCCCCCCAAAGCCTCCCACAGACGCCGCCCGCCGGTCTCACGTCTGGAAGGTCTTTCGCTATAACAAGTCGCACATGGCTCGACCGGGATGGAGACGCACCCCCCCCCCCCGCGCCCCAGGGGTTCAGAAAGAGGGAGACCGGGATTGGGGCGCAGTGAGGACGCCTACATACACACACACACACACACACACACACACACACACACACGGGCGGCTACAACATTCACGTGAGGACGCTCACACAAAGCTTCTGTTGTCTCTCCGGGCGCGTGCCCCCTGCGCGCTTCTCGCCTTGGCCGCACTCCCAACCCCGCGGCCCCCAATCCCAGCCTCCAAGCGCGTGCCGGATCTCCCGCGGACCCCCCTCCTCCCCGCCCCAGTGCGCCGCGCGCACCCCGCCTTCCCCGCGCCCCCTTGCGCACCTGGCAGCAAATCAACGCCATGAATCCATCCGAAGAGCGAAGGGCGGGAGGATCGCGTGGAGTCGAATTGACCCGCAGCCCGTGGGCAGCGTTTCCGCCCCGCCCGGCCCGGCTGCGGGATGGGATAGAGCGCCCACGGGTGTCCGCAGCGGCAGCGCTGGGGGCTTGGATGAGGTCTTCCCCTGGAGCCCGTCCGAGGGCCTCTGAGCGTCTGCGCCTTCGGCTGGAGGCTTTTCCAGGCTCTAGAGGGGCCGGAGCCGCCGTTCCACCTGCGGGAATTCCTGGAGACAAGAAACAGGCGCCTCTGGGGGGGTGAACACACAGCCGGTGTGTTCTAGAACTGCGCGCCTGGAACCTATATAATTGTACTCACCAGTGTCACCCCAATACATTTAATACAATAGAAAGAGAATAGAGAACAGGAGCCCAGCGGAGGAGCATGGTTACCGCGCAGCCGGCGGAGTCACTGCACGTGTGCATCGCCGGCCGCGAGGATCCCCGTGGCGGGGACCCAGGCCCGGACAAGGTGATGGCGAGAAGGATGAGGGGACGGAGCCAGCGCTGGTGGACGCTCCGTCCGATGGAGGGATGCAGCCGAGCTGGACGGAGCACCTCACATCCGGTCCCCAGGGCCGAGGGGGGCTGCGTGGGGGAGAACCCCACTAAAGACGTGGTGCCAAGGCCAAACTTAGCCTCCCTCCCGCGGTCGCTCACACCTGCCCTGCACACCTGAGGCCGCAATGGTTACTGCTGCGTTTCATTTAGCAAATAGTAGTTTAGCGGGCCTGGTGCAGGCCCGCAGGGAAGGAGGGGTGCGCACTGGTGCGATTACCACGGCACCGCCATAGCAACCACAGTTGTTAGGCCACAGCCCCCTGGAACCGTAGCCTCCCGTTTCGGGTTGGGTTCCTCGGGAAACCGGAAAGGAGTCCCTGAGATGCGCCTGCTCACAGCGATGAGGGACCAATCGGGAGGGAGGAAGAGAAGCCGGAGGGGCAGGAGGTGAACTGGGAACCTTGGCCAGTTCCGCAGGGAGCTGGGAGCTGGGAGCTGGGGTGGCCCTGCAGAGTTGAACCAAGGTAAGGGGGCAGCCCTCGGCACCCCTGCGAGGACAGCTAATGGCCATGGGCTGCCCTCAGTGAATGGGCAAGTCTCAGGCAAGAGCCCAGCTGAAGGCCGCCACAGCGACACGCCGGCAGCTGCAGGAATGGCGCCTCAGTCCCGGCAGGATTCTGGGGAGCGCATGGGGCACCCACTATGCTCGGTGAGGGCAGCCTGTTTCGTCCACCTCTGCCCACTGCACATCCGATGTGTTCCTACCACTTGGGCTGCGGGACGGGGGGGGTCGTACCACAGCGCCTTCTTTCCAAGTTCCTCTCCTAAACACAAGCCCGACCGCAAAACACTAACAACCCAATTAAAACCAGACAAAGAAGCCCTAGCCAGTTTGGCTCAGTAGATAGAGCCATGGCCTGTGGACTGAAGGGTCCCGAGTTCGATTCCAGTTAAGGGCACGTGCCCGGGTTGCAGGCTTGGTCCCCAGTAGGGGGCGTGCAGGAGGTGGCCAATCAATGATTCTCTCATCATTGATGTTTCTAACTCTCTCCCTCCCTCTCTGAAATCAATAAAAACACATTTTTTTAAAAAATCTTCCATGTACACTGTATCGGCACATCTCATTCTCCAAGGTCGTTTGTCCTCAGTTCTTTTTTTTTAATATATATTTTTATTGATTTCAGAGAGGGAGAGAGAGAGAAACATCAATGATGAGAGAATCATTGATCAGCTGCCTCCTGCACGCCCCCTTTTGGGAATCGAGCTGCAACCAGGGCATATGCCCTTGACCAAAATTGAACCCAGGGCCTTTCAGTCCACAGGCTGACGCTCTATCCACTGAGTTAAACCAGCTAGGGCTGCTCTCACTTCTTAAGTGCATACTATCGCTTTAATAAATTTACTGTGCTCTGCTAAAAAAAAAAAAAAAAGTGCTACCTGGCCCCCCTTGGCCTGCTTCCTGGCCCTGCCCAGAGGCCCCACCCAGAGGTCAGGCTGGAGCCTGCTGCCAGGTACACATGTGATCCGTGAAGGTGTGGCAGTGGGTCCCAGGGCAGCAGAAGAGAGAGCCTTTTCACGGGAGTCACCCCATTGCTCTGTCACCCCAGGGCCTGTGATGCCCAGAACAATACTGGAACTGATGGGCACCATTGTGCATGAACCCCTCATATACAATGTATAAATATATTGTGACGTATTTGTGCATTTCAGTTCTCTATTACAGCGGTTGCCAACAG